CCTCCTCTGAGGTTGGACCTCGTGGACCCCTGCCCATGAGTTATGTCGACTTGGTGGACGACCCCGAGGCTCGGATGGAGGGGACGTCCGACGTGAAGATGCGGTTCAGAATGGAACCGTCAAGCTCCGGGGTGAAGGACCAGGTGTCCCGCATCTCGGCTGCCTGCTTGGATCGCTGTCTCAGGAGAGCGTCCAAGTTTGTAAGCAATCAAGGGTCCGTGCTGCAAAGGACAATTAACCACGCTGCCGAGGTGAGACCTGCTTCTATATCTGCTTTTATTATTATTTTTTTTCAACTCATAGTTCAGTCTAACCATCGTGTGCTTGTTCTTCACAGGCGTTTATTGCCTCCATTCATTCAGCGGTTATGATCAAGGCCGAACTGGATAGAAGGGAGGCTTTGGTAGCAAAGGAGAGGGAGAACTCCTCTACTGCCTTAGAGGCTGCACCACGCTGAAGGGCGAGCTGCTGAAGGCCCGGAGCGAGGTGGATATCTTGAGGGTCGAGGTGGAGGCCAAGGCCGAGCTGCTAAAGAAAGAGGATGAGAGGCATAAGGCCCACCTCCGAGCTGCCCATGCCATTACTAAAGGGCTGGAGAAGGAGAAGTTCCAACTCCTAAAGGAGAAGGACGACATGCTTCAGGCCCTCGAGGCGAAGGATGCGGTGATAGGGCGCCTAACTGCTGAGCTCAAGGTGGAGAAGGAACGCCTTGCCAACGGAGCCCTTCTAGAAGCAGCGTTCAGGCAACACCCGGACTTTGATGGGTTTGCCAAGGATTTCAGCGATGCAGGCTTCAAATTTCTGATGAAAGGCATTGCTGCTGACATGCCCCACCTCCAGATCGACCTCGGCGATCTAAAGAAGAGGTATGTTGAGAAATGGGCTTCTGGGCCTAACGGCACTCCAGGTCCTGCATCCCTGGTAGAGAAGTACGTCAGAGATCTAGACTCTGACTACTCCGACCTGGAAGAAGACGATGCCCCTGGTCAGGAGCCAAACGAGGTCGGCACTACCCAAGAAGAAGTTCCCTCGCAATAGGGCGGATCTTAAGAGGTCAACCTTCTGGGCTCCCAAGGCGAGCTATCCTCTCACCTCGGGAGCAGCTGAGGTTTCTTGTATATTTTGTTATACTCTTTTTTATTCTTTTGTATAAGTCTTTGGGCAGAGCTGCAAGGTATACAAGCCTTGGCTCTGTTCTTTAATCAATGAAATCTTCATTCCTTCACTTCTATGCATCAAGCTCTGTCTTGTTCTTTCATTGCTTTTTCCTTAAGCTTTTGCACTTGCTTTTGCAACTTTGAACTGATATATGAATAATTTCACCTCGCACCTCTAACTCGTAGGTTTAAAGGATTGAGTGTGGGATGAACTCTTTTCACATCGCACCTTTTACTTAAGGTTTGAATTTGAGAGTTTCTTTTATTGGTCTTTAATATTTCTCCTCGGACTCGGAAGTCCAATAGTCAATATTAAACGAATTTGAACTTTCTACATTGCACTTTTAACTTAAGCGTTCAAAGGGTTGAATTTTGAGTCCATAATTAATATTCACATCGCACCTCGAACCCGTGGGTTTGGAGGATTGGATTTCTTGAACCTTCTACATCGCACCTTTGACTTAAGCGTTCAAAGGATTGAATTTTTGTTCATAACTGATTTTGACATCGCACCTCGAACCCGTGGTTTCGAGGTTTGAATTTGATCAATTTTACACTTACCTTACCGATTTACAAGTTTTACGGGAGTCCGTGGCCTCCATTTAATTTCTAATCGAACTCGAAGTTAAATAACTCCGTTTATTAAAAATTCCGCCCCCTGAAAATTTTTACAAGTCCATTTTAGAACCATTTTGACATTTCAAGGGTAATAGCGCTTTAAGTGCTCTGTGTTCCACGGATGTGCGAGCACGTTTCCTTCCAGGTCAGGTCGGACTATGCCTTTGACTTCGAATGGGCCCTCCCAACTTGGGTCAAGGGTGCCCACATGACTCTGAATCTTCCTGAGGACCAAATGTCCCACTTGAAAGCTTCGAGGTCGTACTCGGGCATTGTAATTTTTGGCCATTCTGTTTTGATACTCTACTAATCGTAGCTGAGCCATCTCCCTTTTTCTTCTAGTAAGTCGAGGTCAAGGAGTAGTTCTTCCTCGTTCCTTGTTGGTTCGTACTGTTCTACTCTGTCTGTTGGCATGCCGATCTCGACTGGAACGACAGCCTCAGAGTCAAAGGTCAGTGAGAATTGGGTTTCGCCAGTTGATTCTCTTGGGGTGGTCCGATATGACCATAATACCTCGGGTAGCTCTTCAGCCCATCTCCCCTTCCTAGAGTCCAATCTCATCTTGAGCCCTCGTTTTATTATTTTATTTATCGCTTCAACCTGCCCATTTGCTTTCGGATGTGCAGGGGACGAACTGAGATGGCTTATGCCCAACCTTCTGCAAAAGTCTTTGAACTTTGCATTGTCGAACTGCTTTCCGTTGTCCGTCACGATAGCGTTTGGTATACCGAAACGGCATACAATGTCCGTCCATATGAAAGATGTGACTCTGGTCTCCGTGATGTGAAAGAGCGCCTCGGCCTCGGCCCACTTGGTGAAGTAGTCCACAGTGACACCGGCGAATTGGTTTGCCCTTTGCCAAGAGAAAAATGACCTATGATATCCACCCCCCATTGTGCGAATGGCCATGGGGCCGAGATAGGGGTGAGCAGCTCGGGAGGCTGATGGATAATGTCTGCAAAGCGCTGGCAATTATCGCAGGCTTTCACAAACTGCTTGGCATCCTGATTAACGGTGGGCCAGTAGTACCCTTGTCGGACCACTTTGGCCGATAACGACCTGGCCCCTGAATGGTTGCCGCATACTCCTTCGTGAATTTCTCTGATGATGTAATTCCCATCTTCTGGAGTCACACACTTAAGGAGAGGCAGGGAAAATCCTTGCCGATACAATGCTCCATCTCGGAGTATGAACTGAGCTACTTTTCGCGCCATCTTTTTGTGCTCCTTTGGATCTTGCGGCAGATTCCCTTTGATGAACTCCACGATTAGGTCCATCCATGAAGGTGTTGGAGTGTCAACCTCCATCAAATCTGGCTCCAAGATTGAAGGGTTGTCCAAGATCTCAACCGGGACCGATCTGGCCAGGTCGGTCTCGTATGCTGACGCCAATTTGGCTAAGGCGTCTGCATTGGAATTTTCTGATCTTGGCACTTGATTCACCTCGTAAGTCTTTAACTGAGCGAGGTGCGATCTGACTTTGGTTAAATATTTTTCCATGCGGGAGTCTTTTGCTTGATACTTCTCCCTAATCTGGTTTACGACCAACTGAGAGTCACTAAAGACCTTGATGTGGACGGCCCTCAGTCCTTTGGCAACGCGCAGGCCTGCTAAGAGTGCTTCATATTCGGCCTCATTGTTTGAAGTCCGAAAG